TCCCCCCCCCCCCCCAAAAAAAAGAGGAGCAGCAGCCCTGGAGAAGGAAGCAGAAGCTGTATGTGTGTGTGTGTGTGTGTGTGTGTATAAAAGAGAGAGGCTTGTCTTTGTATCTTTCCCGCAGGAAGCAGCCACTGAGAGAGCTGTGTGAGGAGAGGGGAAGGGAGGAAAGAGGCAGGAAGCTAAGAGCCACTGAGGGATCTGGGGAAAAAGCAAGCTACGGTGTGGCTGTAGTAGCAGCCCTGGAAAAGGAAGCAGGAGAAGGAAGTTGCTTGTGGGCTGGATCTGGCCCAGCAGATCATGGCCCAGATCTCTCTAGAATCAAGAATGTGGTATTGTGAAGTGAACTAGTGGAACCCCTCTCTCATTTTGTGACATAAAGAAGTTACAGTCAAAGGAACAAACACCTTGCATGTCCACAAGTAGCTGCATACAGAACAATTTGGTAATGATTTGCTGTCTGGTTAAATCAACCATGACCATTCAAGGGCGATCCTGCACATGCCCACAACTCATGTTGCTATCCACAATGTATAAGTTGTGACTGATGTCTCTGCTGGTTACATTATTTCCTTCCAACATCTAAACAAGTCTGCCAGCCAGTATTCCAAGCAAAAATAAAACTGGCATTTATAGTAACCTTCATATGGTGTGAGCAATCATTGACTAATGTACACAGGCTGCAGGAAATGTGCCTGCTAGCTTATAAAAACCAAAGAAGGGACACTCTCCTATGCTTCATTCGGAATGGGAGAAAAAGTAGGGAAACCGGAGTAAGTGTTGTCTTTCATTCCCTTGAATCATCCTACTGAACATGTACTTAGCAAAAGAAGTGTCACATTGCCATTTGTTGGCTAATAGATGTTGCTAAATATGAGCTGCTAGAGTGCTCAGATCTAAGGTCTTTAGGAACTCTGCTTGATTAAAGGTATCTTGGCATGTAAATGAAGTGCACTGTTGGTGAGGAGACTGGTCTACATTGCTTCAAATGTAGCAAATTCAGTTTGGCCTTGATGCAGAATATGGACAATAACAGTTTTTAAGAAATTGCAATTAAGATGAAGCTCTTCAGAATAAAAGTAGTCGGCTGCTTTTCAGGAAGGGAGAACTAACAGTCGCAGTACAATAATTGGCTGTTGGCTCAGCCCAGGAACTGAGGGAAGGATCGGGAACCCCCTTTAACTGAAACAACTTAAATGGCACTTGAGGCATTTTGAAATTAAAAAAATAACAAAATATTTTATTTAACAGAGAAAGGAAAGGTCAGGTGAAAGCAGGATTTTAAATTTCTGAGGTAAAACCAGTACATGAACAGATTTTAGTTCTTATGTTTCAGGCTGATGAGAGTTTCTTAAGCTTTTCACCGTGACTTCAATGATCAATCTTTATGTTGAGAGGCTTTTGTTTCAGTGTTTTCTCCAAACACTTCAGTACCATTTCTTTGAGCAGATTCTAACTCTTTTGCTTTCCCGAAGGCTGGTACACTCT